AATATATATACTATATATATATTATTCTATATATATATATATATATAATTTAATAAAAAATAATTAGATTTTGCAAGAAATTTGTTAAAATATTAAATAATTATTTTTTTAAAAACTGATATTGAATCACATAGACATTTTATCAATAGAAGAAAGATTGTTTAAAAATGATATATCTGATTGTTCTATAATTATTTATAAATTTGTGTTATATTTGTATTTTCCAAAAATAATTTTTGATTATTAAATGTAAAGAAATTTTCGTTAATTTAAGGTAAAAAATTTTATAAAATTGCAAATCTTAAAGTTTTGCTTAATTGTCAATAATATCTATTTTAGAATGATTTATTTGAATTCATATTTTTTGTAATATATTGTTTTCGAAATTTATTTTTTTTAATAATTCATAATTTTTTAATTAAACTTGAAAAACTGTACATTGTGATTAAAATCAGATTCATTATTTATATTAAAATAATATTTCATATGATCATTTAAATTTTGCTTTTGTGTAAATATCAATTACAATAAATTATAATGATTACATCTAACAATAAAGTAAAATAAAATTAAATAAATGAATGTAACATAGAAATTAAAAGCCTTTAAAAATTATAACTTGAAGTTTAAAAAATTATTAAAAGAACAACTTATTGAAGTTATGTCTTTTTAAATTTTTTTATTTTATTTTCAAATTATTTTCAAATAAAATCATGAATTAGATTATGAATTTTTTAACAAGCAAACAAACTGTATCGTTTTACAAAATATTTTCCATATACTGTAAAATTATATGATTTTTCATCTATATAAAATCTCGCTTTTTTAAATGAAATGTTGAAAATAAAAATAAATTACACTAAAATATAGAGATTAAAATATATATTAAAATAAATAGATCTTAGTATACGTACAAAAATTTTTGTATATTATTTATTGCTATACTGAATATTTATAAGATTTCTTTCCACTAATTTATGCATCTTATATGATATATATCATATAAAAATCTTTTACAATACAATTTACATTGATAATGCACTTCATCAATATGTATTAATAAATATCTCATAAGAGCTCTTTTTTGCATAAAATATTTGTTACAAAAGTTACATTGAAATGGATTTATTTATTATATATTCCAATTTGTATTTCTAATGCATGTTTATATTTATATATACTTGACTACATTTTTCATACATATATGTTTTTTTAAATGTTGAATGAGTTTTGATGTACATTTTTAGTTCACTTGTTTTCTATCTTTTAGTAGATAAAAATATTTAAATTTTTTTAAATCATATTTTAATATGATTCCTGATTCTATAGATCAACTATTTTTACTATATATATATATACATATATAATATATAAAAATTTAAATAATACAAAAACGTAATTAATGGATAAATAAATGATTAAAATTAAATTCAATAATAAAAAAAATAATTATCTGCAATATTTTCTTTTATTTCTCTAATATTTTTATTTTTTTTCCACTTAAGATGGATATTTTGTATTTGTAATTTGTATTTTTTTTGCAGTGTCACAAAATGTCTGGAATCTGCTTTTACAGAATTTTTAAATTCTTTTTTTTCAGTATTTATAATATATAATTTTCTTCAATAACATGCATTTTTAATATATTTGCTAAAGAAATATAAAAAATTATTTTTATATTTGACTTTAATAATTATCTTGTCAATTAATGTTATATATTATTATTAATAATTAATGCTATCAATTCATTTTTGCTATCATTTTTTTTTGTTATTATAAATATTATTAATTGATTTTATTTATCTACTTTATTGTAGTTATATGTGTTCTTTTTAAACTTTTCTTTTGATTATACAGAAAATTTGATATTAATGACATAATCTATTTGAAATACTTATATTTTGATTTATACTATCTATATTATCTTGAATACATTGTTACTGTTTCTTCAATTTTTTTTTCAATGATTTATAAATTCAATGCTTTCTTTAAATTCTCTTCATTATTTATTTTTTTCTTTATTTCCAATATTATATTGGAAATAAGAAATATATAATTATATTAGTATTGATATTCAATTTTATAAGAAGTAATAATTTTGTAATATTATTTATTGATTGCTTAATGCCTTTTTTTTTTTCAGTATGATATATTTTCAGCATTTCATAATATATATTCAAAACAGTTTTTTATGCTTGTTTTAATTTGAAATAAATTATAACATTAAACAAATATAAATAATAATTCAGAAATAACTATACGAAATACTTGTGATGTAGAATTTATTAAGAATTTTTCATGACAAGAGAAAAATGTAGAAAATATATTTATAGAAGATGAAGACGAAATATCAAGATTTATATCACTATATTAAGCAAAATATATTATATTGGTATTTTTTTCACCAAAAAATTATAAAAATTTCTAATCAATTATTTAACTTTATTTTTATAGTATATTTATTATTATTTATTATTTATTATTTATTATTTTATGATAAATAATAAATGTAAATATGATCATTTTATGCTATATTTATAAATTATTTTTGGATAGTATATTTCAAATATAAGCTCTATTATTTTTCGAAACATAATTTTCATAATTTTATACATGAGATAAAAAAATTTTGAATTATTTTCTGTTTTATAGAATTGATAAAAAAGTAATAAAATATATTTATTCTTTTAAATACAAATCAGATATTATATATTATTAAATATAAATAGTAACAATAATACATATTTGAGAAAGTTATATATAATTTACATATAATTGCTATAATTCAGATATATGATTATAAAAATATATGATTGATGTATGAAACATATGATATATGATTTATAAAAATCTTTCTATAATATATATATAGTATCTATACATATATAATGTATATACAATCTTATTAAATGTTTTTTATAAAATAACATTAAATTGAAATATTATAAATTATAATTAATAAAGTCATGTTTATTTATAATATTTAAAGATATTTTATTTATAATATTTAATAAAAATATTAATATTTATATTATTTAAAGAAAGAGTTTTATAGTTTATATATGAGAGAGAGAGAGAGAGAGAGAGAGAGAGAGAGAGAGAGAGAGAGAGAGAGAGAGA